TGGGCCAGGCCGGGCCTTGCTTGCAGCTGCCGGGAGCCCAGCGGGCGCTGGCCCGCCGGATGCACGCGCGCGCCCACGCTCCGGGCGCAGCCCTGGCCCGAACACCACGGCGCACCTGGGGCGGCAGCACGCGCAGCGCTCTGTGCACCCCCTCGCCCTCAGGTGAGGAGTCGGCGCCGGGGCCGGGTCAGGCCTGCAGCGCGGCAGGAAGGAGGGGGAAGCCGCAGCGACCTCCTGGGACAGCCGGGAGCGACCTGTTGGGGTGCAGCGTGCACGTGTGTGCCAGTGTTTACACGGGGCAGAGGATACGTGGGTGCGGCTCACCCAGATGTGGCTCGACCATGCCGGCCGCGTGGATTTATTTTGGGAGGGGGATCCCGCCAGTCTAGGACTCGGTTGGGAAGCGCAGGGAATTTCTGCCCCGCCCCCGCCCCCTCTGGCCTTGGCGTTGGGTGTCCACAGCCTGGTTTTGAGGGTCGGTCAGGCCTCTAGGGAGCCACCTTTTCTCTAACCCCAAAGCCAGAATTCACTTCCACAACTTCTCCCTGTCCTCCACCTCAGTGGCTTAGGCCGGCCAGGCGACCCAAAGTCTCCCTGCTTTTGCGCGCCGCGCACTGGGCGCCCCGCCCAGACACCTCACTGTCCGGTTCTCTGTCCGCCCCTCTCCAGTGCTGACCCGTGGAGAGGGAGCCCCCTCGCCTCCGCCCACCCAACCCGCGTGCGGCCCGGCACTCACAGGTAGCTGCCGCTGGACAAGATGAGAAAGACCTGCGGGCAATAGACGGAGAGGAGCGCGCTGCGCGGCGACAGCAGGAGCATGGTGAGCCGGCGCTCCTGGCGGGGCTGGGCAGGACCCGTGCTCAGGGCGCCTGAGCCAGCTGTGGCCAGGGTCCCCACGGCTCTCCCCGAAGTAGGGCGGCGGCAGCGGGCGCTAGGAACCGGGGCGCACGGGTCCCGGCGCAGTGGTCGCCGGTGCCCCGCCGCCAGGGCCAAGCATCGCGCTTCGGCTGGAGTGCGGGGAGGGGTAGGGTCGGCAAGGAGCAGGGGGTGCGCCTCAGCCGCCGTCTGGACCTCCGTCGGTCGATCGGTCGGAACCGGCTCTGTCACTCTCTCTGGCTCACGTCTCCAAGTCTCCAGAGGCACGCAGCTGCCATTGGCCGGGCCGCCCCTACATCCGCCTCCTCCGCGGGCGGGTTTTTTTAAAGGGGAGGCTGACCCGAGCTCGCGGCGGGAGCCGCCCCCAGGGCTTGCCCATACTGCCTTGGCTGGGTCCCCTTCCCGCAACTTCAGCGAACCACACAGCTCTGGCCTGCGCTGGAGGGTGCACCTGGGGGGAGCACCACAGGGTAACCGCGGTGGGGGGGGGGGCGTGCGCTCCTCTGGGGGCTGTGCTGGGCCACGTGTGCTCTGGTGTGCATGCATGTGCAGGCGTGTGCCTGTGTGTGCCCTCGGGGGCGTGGGAGCGTCAGCCAGGGCGCAGGTGTGCGCACACAGACGCACGGTGTGCGCCTGTGCGCCGTGTCTCTGCCCGCGCGCACCCTTGCATTTGGTGAAGCTGGCTGTAGGTCGTCAGCGCTCACCCACTTTGGCCAACCAGGCCCAGCCTGGCAGGGCTTACCTGTGCACATGCGCACTGGTGTCCCTACAGGTCTGCCTCGGAGTCTCTTCTGAGAGGCCGACCGTAGGAACGCACCCCCAACAGGTGCACAGAGGCCCCATCTCCGGCTTCCCCCTCCCTTCTTTTGGTTGTGACAAGTGTGGGACACATTTTCCTCAGCAATCCTTCTTCCAGTGATTTTTTTTTGTGAAGCCCAGAAACACAGGCTTTGAGTCCCACCTCCTATTGTCAGCCAAGCTCGGCCGCACATCAGTGCTCCTCTGGATGCCGTGTGACCCTGCCGCTGGGGCAGAGGCACAAAGCAGCTCAGATGACAAGCAGAGAGAGGTGTCTGCAATGTGGCCAGAGGTCCCAGAGAAAGTGGGTTTCTGGGCTCCTTGGCCAGGTGTGGAGAAATCCTGGCGCTCAGGAGGCAGGGCTGCCTCGGCCCCTTCGTTCCTCCAGGTCCCGGGCTGCCGGGCCACTCTGCTCTCCCGGTTCCGAGGGCAGGAGGCAGGCCGGGAGCAGGGCTGGTCTTGGAACTTCACGCTCCCTGTTCCCGGACACAGAGCGTGCCCAGAATCCAGACAATCCTCGGGCCTGGCTTGGCCTCCTCTGGGGCTGGAGCTGTGAGGCTGCTCAGTTTCCAGATGAGGGACTGTGACTCTCCAAAGCCATTTGTTTTAAAATTGTGTAAAATCCAAGACATCTAGTTTGGGGACCCCGACCCCCATAGGAATTGTGAGGGCTGAATTCTCCGTTCCTGCTGGTCTGGGAGCTCCCCCGGAGGGCCACACGCATGTAGTACCGGCTGAGGGGCATGTGTGGGGGGGGGGCACTGCACGTGCACAGGTGTGGGCTGTGATCACAGAATAGCTCCCCAACACACAATCTCTGACATTCTGTTGGGACTTCGGTGGCCCTTGAATCCCAATTCCCCCTCCTTTCCTGAGGCCCCAGAACACACGATGTGGAGGCCTCTGTGGCGGCCGTAATGATACTGAGGTTTTTGACAATCAGAAAGGTCGGACCAGTGTGAACAGGTGTTTATTGGGACCCCCCAATCCCATGGCAAAGGCCCCCAGGCCCAAACTTTACAGCACCTAGTAAAGGAGGCACCACTGTGACCCCATTTTTCCAACAGGGGAAGGTGGGCTGGGAGGGTCAGAGTTCATGCAGGGCCACCCAGACCTTGTCCTCAGTGCACTGAGCTTCCAGGCCACTTAACCCCTTAAGATGGCATCTGAATGCAGCTTCCCCTCCCCTTTCTGCCTGTGCAGCCAGGACAGCAGAGAGAGCAAGCTGCTTGCCTCTCACAAGATCGAGGGTGGGTGGGGCTGAGGTGGTGGCCCAGGCTGACCACCCCCCCCCCAGTAGTTCCCATGATGTCTCTCTGGGTTTCCTGGGTGTGGTTCTGCAGGTGTGTTTGTGGAGACCTCATTCCTCCTCTCCTCCAAAATAAGAGTGTGCTTTAGGGGCACAACGTGGGGGTGAGGGGGTACAGAATCCCCACTCCAGGGTTCCTTGACAGAAGCAGAGGGCAGAGCCTGGGCCACCAGCTGGCTCTTGGAGGCGCCCCCAGAAGACAGGCCCTCGAGCCTGGGCACCCGGGGTGGGTGCTGTCCCTACTCGAACACTGGCTGCCTCGCAGTCCAGGATGGTCAGAGCTGCTGCCCCCTCACTGGGAAGAGCAGGCTGACGGTGGGGGTGGGAGGCGGCGCTCGGAGTCTAGGCTGAGCCCTGACTGCCTCTCCCTTTGCTGTGTGGGAGTGGGGTGTTGGGGCTGCTTCCCAGAGTCCCCTGCAAGCCGCTTCCAGACGGTGGGCTCTTACTGAGGAGTGTGGCCTGGGGAGAGTGGTCCGTGGCGGAGACCAGAACCGGCCCCAGCCCGGCTCTGCCGCCAACGCCTGTGGACAAGTGGCTTGGCCCGCCTTGCTGGGTATCCTAGTCCTTAAAAATGGGCAGAGAAAGGGCACTTAACTCCAGGGTCACCCGGAGGGGACCAGGCCTCAGCGCTGAGAACCAGGCTGCAGAGAGAGCCTGGTGAGGGGGTGCCCACTACTTTGGGGGGCACAGGAAGGGTAGCTGCAGGGGCTGCTGGAGGCCCCAGAAAGCAGTGCCTTCCCCGCTCCCCGCCCCCAGCAGCCTTGGATGCGCAGGCTCTCACCTCCCAGAAACAAACAGCCAGGGACACAGCCTTCGCGGCCCACAAAAGACAGCCACCAGCAGCGGCAGGCGCGCCAGCCAGGTCTGCAGAACTGAGGCTGGGGCAGAGGGCTTCCAGTCCTGGCCCTGACGTCTCCGGCCTCAGTTTCTCCAACAGTGAAATGACGGAGGGGCAGTCCACGAAATCATTCTCCGGTGGAGCTTCGATCTCCCGGCGGAGGAAGCCGCGTCTCTGCCCGCGGCACCAGCCTGACCCTCCCTCGGGGCTGTCCTCCGGCTTTGCCCGGGCCCGGGATCCACCTACCTCCCGTCGCTGGCGGCGCACAGTAGGCGCGCAGGGAGCGGCGGGGTGCAGGGCCGTGGGCGCCCTCGGCGAGGTGCACCTCATCCCCTTACGGTCACGCCGCCCCCCCACCCCCACTTCGAGCGAGGCCGAGACAGATTCTGTCTAAAGGAGATCGCAGCTCAACAGGTAAGGACTCGGCTGGGTTCAGGAATGTGGAAATACGACTCGGAGCAGCTACTGCTGTGAGCGCGGCCCGCCGGGCGCCCGCCCGCCCTCCGGGCCGCGCCAGAGGGAGCGCGGCGAGAGGGGGCCGGGCCGAGAGTCCCGGGAGGGCGGGGGCTCGGGGCCCGGACCGAGCCCGAGGCGGCCGGGCCGGCCCCGCAGCCCATCCCGAGCCAGCCGGACAAGTTGTCAAGGTAATTTCAACACGTCCGAGTGATGGATAGGGACGAAGGGCCGTGGCGGGTGCACCGGCCTGAGCGCCTGCGGCGGAGGAGCGCGCCCCCCGCCAGCCCGGGCCTCCCCGACCGCGGCACCCCGCCTCCCGCCCCGGCGCGCCCTCCAGGCGGCGAGCGAACGGCCGGGCTCAGCGCCCAGCGCAGCCCGCGGAGGGAAGGCGCGTCCCACCCCCGGGGCCTGGAACCCAAACAGGTGAAAGTACGCGCCGGGCACGCTCCCCGCTACCCGCCAGCCCGCCCGCGGCCGCCCGCGCGCCCTGCTCTCCCCCTTCCAGCCCCGAGCTGGGCGCCCCTCGGGAGAACCTGACGCTCGAGGGTCTCGGCTGCGTCTGTGCCCGGCTTGAGCGAGGATCCAACACACGGGCCGGCCCCAGGTCCTCGAGGGCCGCCCACGGCCCCATCCAGTCTCCACGTTCCCGCGGGGACGCCCTGAAGGTGGCTCTTGCCGGCGGCCCGACCCCCGGCGGCGGCCCCTACCCACGGTGTTACTCACCCGAGCTTCACGTAGAGGACGCCAAAGCAGAGAAACACGTAAAAAATCCACTTGCGAAAGTTTCTGTGCATGATCCAGGGAGGGGGGCTGCGCCATAGACAGCGGCGGCCGGTGGGGACGCGCAGGCGGGGCGGGGAACGGGCAGGGGCGGGGGGCCTCGGCGGACCGCTTTCAGCCGGCGCTGCGGCTAGGGCGACTGGCGACGCGCGGGCACTCGGCGCGCGCTGCCACCATGGTGAGCCCGGGTCGCCACCGCCGCCGCTGCCGCCGCCGCTTGCGCCCGGGGGAGTGACCTAGGCTGGGGGCCGCAACCTCGGAGCACCGCTGAGCGGTCGCGGGGCCCCACGAGCTCGGACAGGGACCGGGCCCGAGCGCGGTGGCTGGGCAGGCGCTGCCTGTACTGGGCGCAGCCGACTGGGGCCGTGCGCGCTTCGCCGAGCGCCGCGGCGGCCAATGTGTCCGCACTTGTCGGCCTCCCCAGGTGACTCGCGGCCCCGGCAAGCGAGCTGCGAGGGAGCGAGCGCGCCCCAGGTAGGAGGATCCGCCTCCCGCCCGCCCTCCTCGCTCGCAGCGCGCGCTCTCTCTCTCCCTCGCTCCACGGCTCTCCCCTCCCTTTTCTCCTCCCTCCCCCGTGACACACAGACACATCCACCCCCCGGACCCCCCTCTGCAGACCGGCTCCCTTCCGATTGTCCTACTAAAACTGGGCTGGGGGAGGGGGGTTGGGTTCGCGGGGGGGGGGGCGCTCGGGGGAGGGTGCAGCTTGGAAGAGACACCTGCGGAGGGGGCGGCTGCTGCTCTGCACCCGCGGGAGCGGGGCTGGGGGGGCTGGGGAATGGACAATGCAGATCGTGGTGGCCACTCGGCCTCCAGTTTCTAGTGGGGGAGGGAGAGACCACCCAGCCGTATCGCGGTTCTGGCGCGCTTCCCCTCCCCCCAGCAGTGATCCACACGGGGTCCTCCGGAGCCACACCCTCAGCCCAGGCTGCAGCGCCTTCCCCGGAGACCTCGGTCAGAGCCCTCCCTCAGCACCAGGGTCGCCTCCACCTGCCAGCATTGCTAGCGCAGCGTGGGGACTGGGGAGGGACGGGCGGGCAGGCCCCGCCAGATGCAGGGGGCGGCTCAGATGGCCTGCTGCAGCCCTGAGGCTAAGAGCCACGAGAGAGGCCGAGTGGAGGATGCTGAGGGCTCTTCCCAGTTTCTGGGCGAAGCGCCTGGACCGCGAGGGTTCCCTGCCTCCCTCCTGCCCCCGCCCCTGGCCCCTGCGGCGTGTGGGGTCCGTCTCCTGTGCAGGGTCGGGCTCCGTGTTCACGTTCAGCGCCCAGAGCGCGAGGTCCAACGGCCGCGGCGCCCGACACACCTGGAGCGCTCGGGCTTGGCTCCGTCTGCAGGGAGTGGCCGCCAAGGGCCCCGGAGACCCTGCGCCCCTGAAGCCCTGTCGGTTCCGAGGGGGCAGGACGCGGGGGCGCCTAGCCACGGTCCTGGCTGGGTCCTCTCCGGCTGCGTGGGCTCTCGGGCCTCCGGGGCAGCAGCTCTTGGGCGGGTGCATGGAACTGGGGGGACCTTAGTCCCGGAGGACCAGCCGGGAAGTATGGGGGTGAGGGAGGGTGTTGCTGCCCGTCACCCTTGCTCCCACCTAGCGGGACTCAGGGGACCTCGAGCTCAGAGCCTGCCGCCCACCCCGCCCCCACCCCACCGCCGCGGTCCGGCTCGACCCCTTGCCTCTGATCCCCTCTTAATCCTTTCAATCCCCTGAACCTTTGCCATGACCCGGGCGCGGGCCTTTCCTTGGCCCCCGATCGGAGTTGGGGGGCGGAGGCTGGTGCAGCTGTGCGGAGTGGGGCGGACGGGCAGCGCTCCCAGATGAAAGGGACGCTGGAGATCAACACAGGCAGGGAAATTGAGGCGCAGAGAGAAGTGAAGTGACAACCGCAGCCTCATCGCCGAGTGTCCCCTGCTCCCCAGCGCCCGGAGTTGGGCGACAGAAAGCTGAACTCTGGAAACGGGCGGGTCGGGCAGGGCTGAGCCCTGGCCGCCGGGGCTGGAGCCCGCCGTGGGGGCGGGGAGCCTCCGCGGGACTCGGGACGCGGGCCGATGCTGCCACCTGGCGGCGGACTGCGGGCGCGGCGCCGGGGCTGCGGGGCGGGCCGTGTCCCCGCCCTGTCGCCGCGTCCGGCGGCCACGCCGCACCCCACCGCTGTCGTCCTCAGTCTCGCTGTCAGTTCCTGGGGCGAATCATCAGGAGCGGTGGGTGTGTGGCGGGGCTTAAATAACCTGTGACCGCAGTGGTAGCCTGCTTCCACCTCCGGCTGGGACGCAGGGACCCGCATCACCACCGGGTCCGCTCCGGCCAGGCTGTGAGCGGGTGGGGCCGGCGGTTGAGAGGCTCCCAGTCTGTGGTCGGAAAGCCTGGGTCGGTCCCTCACGAGTCTGCCGCTCAGGGCCACGCTCCCGGGACGCAGTTGCACAGTGTCCTGCTGCCCTCTGCCGGCCGAGGAGGGGAACCGCAACGCCGAGAAAGGCCTGGGGTGTCTCCCGCTAGGTTCAAGGACAGCTCCGGTGAACTCTGGCCCCCCTCACCAGGTTCATTTTCCCAGAGGCGTCTGACACACGCGCACACACGTGCTCACATGCATGCACTTACATGCTCCACGCACATGTACACACATTCAAACATGCATGCACATGCTCCCTGCACGTGCACACATGGGGTTCTACCTGGGTTCTCCGCAGCCTGGGTTCCCAGGGCTGATTCCAGGGCTCTGGGGTCTGCGGGACCCCACCTGACCTTCCTCCTAAATGGGACCACAGCCCCAGTCTCCCTGACAGGACGGAGCCAGGCTCTGGCTCCAAGGGTCCCGCATGTGCTGAAGGTGGGGGGAAGGTTGGGTGGGAGGGAGTAGGGGACCCTTCTGCCAGGGGTGGGGCTCTGGTTCCCACTCAATGGGGAGACCCGCCCATGCCCAAAGGGTAGAAGTGTCCGGAGTCAGGGCACCCGAGGGGCCCCGATGGGTCTTAAGCCACCTCTGGGTTCAGTGGGGCTCAACAGGGCCCAGCCACTTCCTACCTGTGTGACCTCAGAGCTTTCTGTGTCTGTAGCCCGGGGTTCCCCAGCTCCCTGCAGGGGTGACAATGGCACCCACACAGCCTTGGAGTCTTACAATGAGTTACTCTACGTGAAAGCGCTTGGACGTTTCTGGCACCGGGCGGGGAACCAATCAGTTGGGGCTCGTTCCACCTGGCATCTCGACCTCATGGCACACACTTGTCCTCTCCTCTCCAGAGTCCTTGTCTTTCCTTGTGTCACTTAAACCCATCGAGCTAGTTCCTGCCCCAGGGCCTTCGCAGGTACTATGGCTTCGAGAGCAGGGCTCTGTCCCTGGTTCTGTGTGGCCCCGGCTCAAATGTCCCACATCAGAAGGGCCCTTGCATCCCTCCTCCCAAACGCCCATGTACTGGTATTCTCTATTGTAACAGTTTGCTGTTCCCTCTGGGACCCCGAGAGAGCAATGTGTCATTGTTGGTGTCCTGCCTGTCACCAGTCTCTAAGCTCCGTGGGGACCCTCATGTCCCCTTCGGCTCCTGCTCTAGCCCCAGGGTAAGATTGAATCTGGCCCTTAGTGAGGGCTCAGTCAGCAGCTGTTGAGTGGAGAAATGGTTTTCCAGGAGACAGCTGGCATCCGTGACCTGCTGCGTGGCAAGGCCATGGAGACCAGGCGTCTGACCCCAACCCCTTTGAGCCTTGAGATTCACCTCCATCCCCATCCCTGCTGCCCTTCTCCTGCATCGTCCTTGCTTCTCATCACTGGTGTCACTGACAGTCCTTTCCTGCGCCCCCCCCCAATTCCCACTCTGTGTATGGAGCCCCCCCCCAGATAAAGAGCACATGTTTGTCCAGTGGACCTCACTCAGCCCCGTGAAGTGACGCTGCTAGACCCGTGGCTCCCACAAGAACCGGGAGGCAGAACAGGTAGCTGGGCCGAGGTCACACAGCCGGTGGAGCTGGGACCTGAGCCCAGACCCCTCAGGCCCAGAGCCGGGCTTCTTTCGGCGCGGGTGCGGGCTCTGCGGAAGAGGGGCCTGTGCTAGTTCAGTGGGGTCCCTGAGTTGGGGAGAGGCTGGGGGACAAGGGTTTGCCCAGGGCAAGCCGCTCAGGTAGTGAGGTGCCTCCGGGGGAGCCTGGCAAGGAAGGCCCCTGAGATGCCCTGCCCTGATTTCAGGGACGGATTGTGAGGATAGACTGCCCGGGACTGTGTCCTGTTAGGTGATAAAAGGTGGGATTGAGTGACTGAGCAGTTGACTTTGACTTCACTGAAAGGGGATTACCGGGTGGCCCTTTGACAGTAGAGTTTCCCTGGTTGGGGCAGAGGCAGGTCCAAGAGGCAGGACGCGCAGGGCGGGCGGTTTTGAAGGTCAAGGAGCCCAGCCGGCACCTCAGAGCTGAGAGCCATTGAGGAAATAAATGGGGACCTCGGTTCTGCGGCTGCAAGGACCCAGCTTCTGCTCCAACGAGCCTGGGCTCTTCCGGGGCCCCAGGTGAGCTCCAGCCCTGTCTCCACCTGGGCCCACCTGTGAGGCCCCGAGCAGAGGACTCAGCTCCGGGACGCGCTGGACTTCTGACGCCCAGGGCGGTGGTGTGGCGAGCGGACATGGCTCTGAGCTGTGAGCGGTAGTGCCTGCGTGGCAACATAGAACAAATACAGCAGCATTTGAACACGCAGACCAGGGCTCTGTGTGGTTGTGGGGCAGACAGATGAGACAGAGAGGGGCGGGGCGTGGACAGAGAGGACCAGTGCCTGGTGGGCCGAGGGGTACAGACCTGACTTTACGGGCCCCAGGGAATGATGGAAGACGTGAGAGACGGGGCTCCCATAGCCGGCCCTGGGTGGAATGTCTCAAGCTTGCCTGACCAGCTGACCCTGAGCGTTTCTCCAAAGTGCCTGGGGAGGAGACCCAAGAACCTGCTGGGTAAACGCCCTGCCGGCTCCGCAGCCAGCATGTGGGTCGGCCTCTCTCGGACAGGTGCACTCGGGGTGGGACGTACCTAGTCCACATCCCAGAGCCTCCTCACACTCGAGTTTGCCCCACGCCCCGGAGGTTCCCAGCCCTGTCTGCAGAGGAAGTGCCCTTGGGGGAGGGGCAGCTCACGGCAGGAGGGGCAGAGCATCCCCTGGGGAAGTGAAACCAGAGCGCACCTGGGAGCAGAGGCTGTGGGAGATGGAGGAGTTCCTGAGGAGCCTGAGACAAAGCCCCCGGGGGGCCCTCCTGACCACCGACCACCGGCTGCAGCCGCAGCCTCCCCCAGAGAAGGGCAGATGGAGCTCGGCCCTGCCGGGGAGAAAGGGAAGCCCCGTGGGGAAGCCCCCAGAGCCCAACAAGGTTCCACCGGGTGTCGGGGAGCCCCGAGGACCAGGAGTGCGCTACAGTCGGCATCAGTACACCAAGAATGCAATGCACAGGCTACCCTCTGACCTCTGACCTCTGACCTCCGCGGGGTTATGAATCCAGGAGGGGAAGCATTTGACAGAGGCTCAGGGGCACCTTGTGA